TGCAGGCCCCGCCCCAACCCCAAGCCTCCAGCCACACGGCCTCCGCCCCGACCTCAGGCCCCGCCTCCAGCCCGGAGACAAGCCGCACACGCCCACCTCGCCCTTCGGGCTCTCAGGCCCCTCCCCAAGCTGGAGACCTGAGCCGCACGACCGCAGCCCCGCCCTCCGGCCCCGCCCACGGCCTTGAGCCTTGGGTTGCTGTTCCCCTGATCCCGCCTTTCGACCCCGCCCTCCGCCGAGAGGCTCCGGGGGCGGGACTTCCGGTTGCCGGTTCCCACTAAATGGCGGTCGCCCCCGAGAATTCCGTCTTGTTTATTTCTCCGTAAAGTCGGAGATCGAATCATCGCGTCTCTCTGCTTATCCTTAGCGTCTGTCACTAGCCAGTTCCTCCCTTTTTTAGCCTAGTCCATTTTATAGTATAGAGTTTAGAAGCAGTGACTTAGAATCAGACCTGGGTCAAAATCCTGCCTTCTTTCTTTCGAAGGCAGAGACCTTTAAAACAACGGGGACTTCCGTAAGTTGGTGGGCCCTCAGTTTCCCCTCCTGTTGAGGAAAATACGGAAATTACCCAAACTGAAAAACGAATGAGGGCTGAACTAAGATATTCTTTCTGAACTGCTCGGAAGGTGAGGTATAAATAAGACTGGTCGCAAAACTCTCAATGGTGACGGATTTACAACTTACCCCCTTTTCTCCTGCAATGCTCCCGAAACTCTTGATGTAAAGTTGTCTGTGTTATTTTAATGGTCCGCTGTGGGTTCTTCCTGAAGAACCTGTTACCTATCTCTACTTTCTTGATAAGAGCTCAGTTTCTCAGCAGCTGTAGGAATTTGGAAATAGTTGACATGGTAAAATAAACAATATAATTATCAATCATAAGTCAGGGCCATAGATTATAAGAAACTCTCACTTGGAGGAAAAGACAAGGTTTTAATAAATTCTAAGATGTTTCGCAGGATGGAAATTGCTGGTTTTGAGCATATAGACCCCATTCTGAATGGTGCTGGAAACCTGATGGTTGCCCCACCCACAAGGCCCTTTCAATCAAAAAAGCCCAGAAGATGATTGCCCTCTTTTACGGATCAGCCAGGTGATAGTGTGCCAGAGACACGCTAATTTTGCCCTTAAAAAAGAATGCTCGGGAACTCTTCTATCTCTCTGGCTTAGAGAGAATGCTTGGGAACTCTTCTGGGAGACTGGGCTTTTTTTTCAGCATTAGCTTCCTGCTCTTTCCTCTGTGTTTGGCGATAAAACTGCACTTCCTTTTACCACATCCCAGCATCCACAATTTGGTTTGGGCAGCTGAACTTAGTTTGAGTTCAGTATCACCTTGACATTTATAAGTCAAAAAAGATTAAAATGTCTGTAAAACTTCAGCTCTGTGCTAAATTTAGAATAAGATTCCTGTCTGTGTGGGAGAAATCACTGCATGCATATATCTTCAAGATACTGAGAGGAAATTGGTTGTATTGATGGAAAGCTTCCAGAGCTTCTTGAAAGGAAAGTATCCCCAAAACAGAGCTCTGCTTCGGAATTTGAAGAAACCTTGTAGATAAATTAGCCTTTTGGAATAAAAAATTATTTCAAATTTTAAATATTGGTGAGCTGATGTCACTGATTATCTCTAGAAGCATTTGTCTTTTATGATTTTTTTTTTTTTTTGCTTTGTATCCTTGACTTTTCTTTCTGGAAACTTCAGTGTTTTCCTATCTCACAGTTTTAGTGCAAAGATACAAAACTATATGGCTTACTAAGAAAAAATCACAGAAAGCTCAGGGCAGGTTGAAGGATCTGAAACTCAGCAGGGTAAATGAACAGGAATGGAAACTATCAAAAAGGAATGCATTCTGCTCCTGGTCTTTTCACTTCTTTCTTTGTTTTCTACCATTTTCATTTTTAACTGCTGGATTTGTTTCCCCTGTTGCAGAACCCATGTTCATTTGCACATTATACAGTTTACTGATCATGGAGATGAGTTTACAAAGCAGAAAAAGCTTTAATTAAATGAGTAGCTCAGTGAGGCATTGATTTAAAACTCAAATTCAACTTTCTGATCGAAGGGGGTTAGGAATTTATTTTTTTTAGAGATAGGTGGGTACACAGAGAGACAGATAGAAAGCACAAAATCACTCCCAGGAGGGATGACCACACCATAATCCCTTCTCCTCCATTCTCCTCTCGGGATTTTGGGCATGCACACACATGTATAGGGTGTGAGTATCAAGCCTCCTGCTCTGGAACTTGGAACTGCTGTCTACCATGTGGGAGAATAGTGATAATAACCAATATGCCATCTGCTGGTTCCAGGGGTTAGGAATTTTAAAGGATTGGAACAGAGGCAACTGGGGATGTGGCCAAATGTGACTGGTGATAGGAAAAGGTGAAGTAATTGTTAGTGTGCAAATCATACAATGTGTCTTCAAAGAAATGCATGATCTGTGTCCAAGTGTTGACTATCAGTCCATTGTGCAGCCTGGGTAGAAAAGTTGGTGGTCTCAGCTGACTGTAATTGACTTAGGCTGGCTAAGGGCTGATGTTAAGTTCTTGAAAAACATGTTAGACAAAATATCTTGCAGTCTGTTGGTCACAGAGATGTTTTCTGCAATGTTTCCTAGTGACTGGATCTAGTGATACATTAATTAGACTACAAGTAGCTCTAAATCAGGGAATTTAATGTGCCTCTTTGTTGTTTTTTAGGAATAAAACTTATATATCAGTTTGTTAAATTTTTTTTTCTTATTTTGCAGAGGTTTTTGCTATAGGGTGCGTGCGCCTGCCAGCCAGACAGAGACAGAGAGATAGAAAGTGAGAAATCACCCCCCAGGGGGGGATGGCCATGCCACAATCTCTTCTCCATTCTCCTCTCGGGATCTTGGGCACGCGTGCACACGCGCCCAGCGTGAGTTTTAAGCCACCGGGTCCGGGATGCGAATCGTGGTCGACTACATGGGAGTCCAGCGACATAGCCATTACGCTAACTGCTGGTCCCAGTTTGTTAAAATTTAATACTAGTAGAAATTCCGTAACTTCAGCCTACCCTTCTATTTGTCCAATTTTCTTCTCTTGTTATTACTTCTAAAATTAGTCTTTTAAGCAAGCAGGAACAGGTTAAGGATGTCCAAGATTATTTCCCCATACTAAAAAGTCCTTATTACTTGCTCATTACCATTACTCTTGCACCTGGCTACTTTAAAAACAAACAAACAAACAAACAAACAAAACTTTCTATTATCTCAGTTATGTTAAGACTAAAAGGTTTCTGTTTAGAAAGTATGAAAATTAGTTCAATTAAATAAATGCTGAACTTTGGCTATTAGGGGAATACTGGAAGATAGGCCTGAAAAGGTAAGTTAGGGTAAGGTTCTTTAGGTTAGTCTTGGAGTTTGGACCTTATTTTTTGACCCTAGTAAAACCATTATACTTCATTTTTCCCACTGAAACATGTCATAATGATCACTCTATTTTTGGATATGTAATCAGGAAGCTTTCCCAGAAATAGTTGAAAGAGAGACTGAGACAAAAACAGTGTGATAACTATGAGAAGAACCAAGACAGGGAAATGCAAACCTATTCTGGTGATGACAGTGAAAAGAATGGAATAGGTGTGAGAGACATTGCAGAAAGAGAACCATAGGACTCAATTACTGATAGGGCTAAAGAAGAGAAGGGATTTAATGAACCTATGTCTTTCCTCATCTATTGCAATAAAGAAAAGGAATTGAGCTACAGAGCTTCTCATATTCTTTCTTTCCTTTTTCTTTTGCTAGAGGGCATGTGCACTTGCCAGATGGAGACAGAAAAACAGAGAAGGAGAAGGAGAAAGCAACCCTTAACTGGGGGTATGGTTATGCTCCAAGCCCCTTTCCTCCATTTCTCCATCCTGTTGGGATTTATACGTGTACTGTGTCCATATACACTCATGGACGCAGTGTATATTTCAAGCCACCAGGGCCAGGGTTCGAATTGCATAGTTGGCCCTGTGAAATCTAGCTTCCTAAACCACTAAGCAACAGGGCCAAGTTTTCTATCTTTCTGGTATCAGAGAATGCAAGGAAGAGATATTTCAGTGGTGGAAGCAGTTACAAGAAGTTAATGAATTTGTTTCTACACCTAAGATCTAAAACCTCAAGAAATTAATCTAGTTCAGTATCTTCTTTTGAAGAAATTATCGTTCTCTCCTTCTGATGCCCTGGAGATTAAACAATTGGTCATCAACTAGTCAGTGGGAATAAGTTCACACTATCTTGTGAACTAACTGTTCATGAAGGCAGCATCAGCA